CTAAGCGCTTGTTTTTTTGTGCTTCCTTCTATCGACCGTTAATATTACTTTTTCATTATTATACAACACTCATGTAACAGGTGACGTGGAAGTTGATAAGATAAGTACGGTTTTGCACACAGTCCCTGTTTGTTTTGTTTAATTATTTTTTTTTCCGGTGGTAAAATTTTAAATAAAGAAAAAAAGATAACTCGTCCGCAAATAAGTAATTTTAAACAAGGTTCTTAAGTGTCGATATTGCGACAGTGAGGTTAGATATTTTTTTGCATACCTAAATTTCTCAAAGAACATTGTCTTCATTTGGAAAGATTTTTTACAAAAAATGTTTGCATTTGTTTGAATTACTTTAATACCTTTGCAATGGCGTAAAAATACGATATCTAATAGTTTACATGTTTTTTAAATAGCAAATTCAGTAAAAAGAGCAAATATTAGTTAGGTATAAAAAAACAATTGACAACATAAATATAGCCATATTCAACACTTTTTTAGTCAGAATTCTTCTATCTTCATAAAATTATTTGATTAATAATTTCCATGAAATGTTCGAATTATTCAGAAAACGTATTGTGCATTCGGGAAATATTAAAAAGCCGTTCATGAATAAAATAATAGATCTATACATATCAAGGCAACGAAACTATTAAAATTTATAGTCAGTGTGTAACAAGGGAGGCATGTATTTCTGTTATATCCTGTTTTACGGCCACCGAATAAAACCCGTTGATGTTTTGTCGACTAGCCGTAATTAACCGATAACAGATCCAGGCAAACATATGGATCTGCACACACAAGTAATAAAATAAAAACGGCCGTTACATGCACAATTATTAGAGATATAAAGCTTGCATCTATCAGAATTAAACTGATGCAGGTAATAAAATAAAAAACGGGGTGTAATAGGCGGGTTATGTGCATTATTAATTTTTCAATCAAAGCTGAAATAGTTTTGATGTGGTATGCTTAATAATTCACTGCCAGTTACATATGCTTTCAAAAATTCACTCATTGAAATTTTATATTCAATTCGTCCGTAAAAATGAACATTTCGGACCGTTTTATTAGCTTTGTTTCTATATTAGATATTGGTTAATAAGTTTGGTGAATTGTATTATGCACTAAATTTAAGAAACACCCTGTATATTATAAAATCTCTCGATATTATTTGCATTGAACCATCAAGCTAAACGTAGACACGTGTGCTGTGAGCAATAAAAGACGAAAGTCACACTATCCATCATAGAAATTCCTTACAGGGTCATTGCTAACACTCATGTTTATATAACTTTCTAAAGTAGAACGATCATGTCCGGAGTATAGATCAGCTTACTACTAGTTACTAGCTTATATAGGCGTCACATTCGGCGGGATTTAGGCGCAAGTTTTTATAGATTGTAAAAAAAAGTTTTGCCTGATTTCTAAATCAAACTATACCTATTTATATAAATTATTATAAGCGAAGACAAAATTTATTTTATTTTTATTGTTAAAAATAAATACATTATTTAAATTATACAGGGTATAATCAGGGTACAAATCGTATTCGGCTCACCTTCCCAGTTTTCATTTCAGTTCATTGCTAGGCTTTGTTCCTGCTGTTCCATGCATCTATTTTATACGTCCCCATAAACTAAGTAAGTAGTAGGCAGCATGTATATTTAAATGTTTATACAGAATGTTCCAATGTATACAAGCCATTGCCATGATAAGTAAACAACAAATCGAATGTTTTTTAATAAGCCCAAAAAAATCGTTTATTTAGAAATTATAACTTCTACAGCTCTTACTTTGCTATGATTTTTTTTGTTTGGGAGCAAAGTGTTGAAAAATCGTAGTAGTGATTTTTTTTTAATAATACCACGTTATTCTACTCTTTGTAAAATCTCACCCTGTATCAATTTTTATCAAAAATCTATTCATTTTTAAATTTATATAAAAAAAAATTGAAATATGACCACTAATTTTACATTTCCATTTCTTTTATTTTATTATTTTTATTATTATTTATATTATTTATTTTATTCATTTAATTTATGCCAAATTATGATCCACTTCTGATTATTATTATATCTAGGAGTCTATTAAAAGATAATTAAATGAAATTTCATTCCAGTAAACTTAGAAAAACATGTCTGAACCCTAGATAAAATATTTTCAATTTTCTTAATTTTTGCATATAACGCCAATGTATTAATACTATTGTCCAGAGACATATTTTTAGTGAATTATAGTGTAATCAAGTACAAAATGGCGGTTTATATAAATAGTGAAATGGTAGCTACAGTTCCGTACCGCTGTATCCATGCTTAAAACATATGTACATATATACCGTGTCGCAAAATGATTGAACAAAAATCGCTGGAACAGGTCAATTAGTAAATAGAGATTGTCCCTTTCTGCAATATTTTCTTAAGCCATGTTTGACAGACCTATAACATTATCGACATTAATTTTTAATGAGACGCTCTATATACAAAAAAAAATCTAGTGGGGTTAAGTCAGGGGAGCGTGATGGCCATTCAAGCGACCCTCTTCTGCCTATCCATCGATTTGGTAAAACTTCATTAAGGTAATTTCTTATATCGGGGCGAAAATGTGGAGGGGCACCATTTTGTTGGAACCAGACATCACCAGCAGGCATATCGTGCTTATTGGGGTTAGGAAAAATTAATTCAAGGTCTGGAAGCAGTTGAAAATGCAAAAAAATCTAAATAAATGTAGTCTATCAAATTGCCCTCAAAGAAATAAGGTCGCAGTATGTTTTTCTTGCATCCAATGCGGATTGGAAATGAAAGAGAGTAATAAAACCCCGAGATAAGAACCGGCCATGGGCGTGGTAATATTTGTTTCAGGTAATTATCGGGTAACACTAATGCTAATAGGTAATGGGTGTACATTAGTATATTTTACTGGATACATCATAGGGTAGGAGCCAGTGTATTGTGACAGATCAATCCAGTCTTAGAGCTGAATATACGAAGACGTGCTAGTGCAGTAGAGTAAAATTCGACTTGTGTTTAGCGACTATTGTGCCAGTGGATATAATATTGTTTGGGTAAAATGTCGAGCTTATCAGATTACCTACCTGCTAAACGCGTGAAAAGATGTGCGCTCTCTCAGAATGAGAAGAATTTTGTTAAAAAAATCCTTGGAAGGAGTAACTGCAGATAACTGGCAAAGATGTATACATCATGTACAAAAAGAATAGGAGAAAATGTGGGAACTCGATAATTTAATTGACGTTACTGTGGAACCTATCGTTATCAATCTAGGAGACGAAGATAATTCATCAGAATATTCAGAGGATGAATTTTAATATACCTACTTTTTTATTTTCTTTATTGTACATTTATACAACACTACATTTACTCACCATAATTTGAATTTTCAAAATACATATATTTTTGTGTGGAATAAAAGTCTATTCATTAAATTTAAATAAATATTTTGATAATAATATTGAATAATTTTATTTGAATTACTAAAAACCCTCTTAACTCGGTTATGATGCTTAAAGTAGCCTCATGTTTTGAAATGCTGTTTTTATATTGTTTACTTATAAGAGAAATGGACCGAGAAATTGAAGCGGCATAGACAAAGACGGATTGTCGGGGATTAAATTTTAGCTACCTGCTACAATTTAGTACAACCCGGTCACACAAAGTTTTTTTAAAAGTACACCTCATCTATACCGATAATACATAATATAAAAATATTGAATATAAGCACCAGTACTACATTTATTTACGATTTGCATACATAATAAGCTTTTATTGCTCTCTTTCATTTCTAAACAGACTATAGGTATTTGGCCTGTTCATGGTTCTGTTTAAGCAAAAAGTTGCTTCGTCAGTCTCATCTACCCATAGTTCTTGTAAGACGTTAACTTTGTAAGGATGCCACATTTCAGATTTCAGATTCTCTGAACTGAGGATTTCGACAAGTTAAAGTTGGCTGAGATAGATCTAATTGATGAGTGATAATTTTTAGTAACGGCGAGCATCACATTTTGACAGTTATTTTTGCTTACCGTTCTTTGCCTTCCTGATCTAGGTAAATCTTTTTTACTTCCGGTTTCTTCAAACTTTTTGGATATTTTACTTATTGTAGCTCGACAAATTCTCTGGTCTGGATACTTATGGTGAAATAAGTCACATACCTCCTGTTGACTGCGGATTTTATTTCCACATCCAATCATAATTAAAATTTCAATGATCTGTTTATCGCTTAAATTGGTAACGATTTTTTTAAATAATTTAACAACTGAATTGGAACTAAAACGATTCACATTATACCTAAGGTACTCTGGTGAATCTGTTTATTGATGTGTTTTTTTTTTTGAGAAAAAAAAAGCTTCAGAGTAAGTAGAAAATGATTAATAAAGAGTAGGTACGTTTTTTAAAGTACAGAAGATACTATGATTGTTTGAAATAGTCATGAGTACGATATAAAAGACAATTTTTTAGATTTTTTTGACAACTATGACAAAAAAGTACGCATAACCTTATATGCTGAATTCGTCTTTAAAAGGGCTATCTATTTATACTATAAAATATAGAGCGTCTCATTAAAAAAATGTCGGTTCACCCTGTCTTTAAGCAACCAAGAAGCACCAAGGAAATTTTAAATTTTCTACGTCCATGGTGTAGTAATATGACAAGCACGTACCACTCACAAAATTGCTTGAATATCTATTAGCCTGTGCTTTCGACGTGTGTTGAAATAACTGTTACAGTAACATCACTTTGAATTACACTGGTTTAATCAATTCAAACAATTTACTACAACTTATATCTATCTATACATTTTTATAGTTGATGTTGTTATAGAAAACATATAATAGATCATAAAATACACGTATCCCAAATTCAAAATTATCACGAATTGAATGTTTATCATTCCGAGTCCGAGGTGTTTGAAACAAATAAAATACAAAATGCAATAGAATAAATAAAATTTATTAATAAATACCTAAATTATAAACAGTCATTTGAAATTCATCAGTGGTGGTACAGAGGAGCGGCGTAAGCGGCGACCTTAGCTACAGGGGCGGCGTAGGCAAGAGGGGTGGCGATTTTAGCTACAGGGGCGGCGTAGGCGACGGGGGCAGCCACTTTAGCCACTACCGCCTTCTGTACGAGCGGTTCCCTGTGTACGATAGCGTTGAAACCGTTGTGGGGATCAGCAGTGTATTCTACGGTACGCCTGAAACCGTCAGGGTCCACCAGGGAGTAGCTGCCCTGGACGACGTCTCCGTCGCGGACTTCGTGTTGGTTCTTGCTGTCTCCTGTGAGGCCGTCCTGGATGTCGTAGGCATATTGGTATTGTGGATGGGGGTCGTAGTCTTCGGCTACTACGGCCTTGGCTACGGGGGCGGCGTAAGCGAGTGGGGCGGCTACTTTGGCGATGGCGGGGGCGGCGTAGGCCAGGGGGGCGGCTGGGAGGACGCCGGCTTTGGCCACGGCGACAATGGCGGCGAGAGCGAGGAGCTTGAATTAAAAAAATGAGAACATTTGTTAAATTATAATTCTTATTTTATAATATGAAGAGACATTAGTAAGTTGTTGCAAATAATTACTCAATATTAAGTAAAAAGACAAAATTAGCTTCATTTTTAAGTCAAAGTAAAAAAAATACATTTTGCAGAATTTGTCCTTTAAAAAAGAAGTAGTATGCATATGATTTTCATTTCGAGGATGTTATAGTTTCTAAATAATCGTGTTTTTAGGGTTTATTTGAAAACGAAGTTTGGGTCGTCATTTTTCTAGCAAGTAACTGATAACTTTAAACTTTGCGGGGTAATTTTATACTATTTAATATTAATGTTATTGCGCTGCTAGGTATTTTCTGAGAACATAATCATTTTTCCTTTATGAAACTGAGTCCGGTTCTGTTAATAGCAGCGTATCCAAGAAATCTGTGATAATTGTTTATCGACTCTACAGGGCCAACGTAAACTAGCTGGATTGACCTATTTTTGTCGATTTGTTGTTCTCACGGACGGTGTTTTTCTCTTAAATTTTTTTAAGCGTATTTAATTAATATTTTTAATGAACTATAGTGCATTTCTAAACGGTTCTGTAAACTCTAAAGGATACTACAAAAAAAAGGATTACTGTTAGGTAGCATGTACCATTTTACACAAGTATATTAACAAAATATTAAATTGATAGAGGACCTTACCATTGAATGAGCTAAAGACATTTAGCTACCAACAGTATTTGCATTTAAGACTATAATTTTAATTTCTTACGTATCACATGAAACAGTTAAATTGTAAAACATTTTATTAACTAAAAAAAATCAAATTAAGTTTCAGTTTGTTGTAAACTAATATTTAAAAAAGTAAATCAAAATAAACAGATTATGGTAATTAATTATCTATTATTAACTAATTTTAGATTTTGTAAACTACTACACTACTATTACTAAAATAAACAATTGGTGAATGGACTGAATTGTTGATGGACATAAATGCTTAAAAAAGTGATAAAAACAGAAAAATATTAGGAAACAGACTCGGAGACATACAGAACAAAACAGCTGCACAATTAAATAAATGTGCAAATGCGAAATACTACAGTAGATACTGACATTGTCCCCCATTTCCTTCTATACAACTTCATTTTTCTCGAAAATGGTACATGCTACTGAATTTCGACGAGTTTACCTTTTTTTTATAGTATCCTTTAGAGTTTACATAACCGTTTAGAAATGTAATAAATTTTGACATTTAACATATATTTTTTTTTCGATTGTACCCCTCCAATTACCTGTATCGGCGACAGTGCTTTTTAGAAAGAAACCGTTTGAACATTCTTAACGCACAGTTGATGTTTACTCGTGTACAAATTTTGACATTTTTATCTTTAGCTGATTTTTAGATAATTAAGAAAAACCATTTGGAAAGTAACAACTTCAACACAGTGTATCTCGAAAATAGAGCGATTAAGAAAAACACTTTACATGAACTACCCCTATTTTTTTTCCATGGGGAACTTGCACACGAGTTTTTTTGAAACATGAACGGGACACCTTGTATAACTCTTTCTATCGGTAAATCAATTCTTCAGTGGATACAAAAAATGTTACAGTATATGTATCAAACTGAGAACACGAACCACCCACTACTTACAATTACTTCACAATTCAAATGACATTTAATCACTATCACTTAGCACATACCTTAAAGATCATGTTTGCACTCTGTGTACAAGCGGTCGAAATCGATTTGCAAGTTGAGAATGATTCGATGTCCCTACATGGGTCCTTATATATCTAATATAACTGCTCTGATTTCTTCACCGTTGCATAATGATACGAAGAAATGACCTTGCGGAGATCGCCAGATTTGATTCGCGTCATACTTTCGTTTGTTAATTTCAGGGTGTTGGCCGTCTCACCGGGGCATTGTTCGAGAGAAGTAGGCGCTGGTGCATAGGTGGCTAGATCTCTATCACGCCGAAATTGTGTCATAGATTTTTGATATACCTTGTATGCGTAATACTCTCATAGTAACAACGTCTTACTACTTATCTATAATTTCTTTACATGACAGTATACTGGGTGTTCCGTATGTACGTGTACAATGAAAGACACAGGTTCCCGAGCTCAAAGAGACCGAATTAGACTAATTCACCTACTTGTATATCCGAAATCGCTTCGTCTGACCACCGCTAGATGACCTCAATTTTCCTGATAAATTTTTCAATTTTTGCGTGTATTGAGGATTTTCATCAGACTAAACGTGTTTATTGTTGAAGTTCATTATAGCATCTATGGCAAAATTAGCTTCGTCCGTAAACAATATGTCAGCGGAAAGTCAACATTTTGTTAAATTTTTTGCAAAATCTAGTGCCAAAATTGTAAACGAGCAAGATAGTCTTGCGACAGTAAGGTTTGAACCTTTTGTTTGTGATACGGGTATAACTGTTGCTACTTCAGAACGAACCAAACTAATATAAATTTCACATTAAGATTTGCAGCGATCTTCTTAATACTAGTATTTGGGTCTTCTTCAATTTCATGTAGAACAGCTTCTTCCGATTCAGGCGATCTAACACTCAAAGGTCTTCCAAGAATTAGACCTTTCTGAAATGAGCCTGACTCCAGAAGACGTTAAACTGAACATTATTGGATTTGGAGTTAGATGATTTGAAAATCTTTCCATATAAATTCGTCTAGCCTCAGTACCATTTCCATCTGCAAGGCCATAAATGTAAACAATATTGGTTGGCCATTTCAGCATTTCAATATGCATAAGCCATTATTACAACTTAATCTTTTTAAAAAATAAGCTTAATCTGACAATACACAATATTAAATAAGATGACGGCTTTTTATTATTATTGTTTTGCATGGCCTCCCTAAGATATGTTTATGAAATTTAAATAACTGTAAAGATGCAGTTGGTCAAATAAATCAATTTTGTTGTTAATCGGTTTGGAATACAAAAAAGTGTAAAGAAACAAAAAGTGAATATAATACAATGGCGCATATGATGACCTATTTTATTATACAGGGTGGCCCATTAGTGTGAGAAAGTAAAATAACTCCGTTGTTATTCGTAATACAGAAACAAATTCTATAAAAGTTGTACAGAATCAAAAAACCTACAGGACAAAATTAATTTTAAACACACAGGGCGATAAGTAAAAACACCCTGTATATTTTTAAACATATGGATTTCTGAGAAAATACTATATATGGCAATATAAACAGTTTAACATTTTAGTGCGAGGTTGCCAAGTTATGTAGAAAATTCTTCGAATTTTGGAAAAAACATGACCTCGAAGAAGTTGTATTAACTTTCAACTACTAACACTTGGAGCAAAAATATTTGACAGATAGAAAAATGTTGAGGCAAAGACTCCTACATTAGCTAATATTGATATGTTATACAGGGCATTTTTTATAATTCGATCATTTTTAATGATTGATTGATTTTCTAAAATTTTTCAAATGGAACACCCTGTATTTTATTCTATTTTATTCACATATCAGTCCACTTCAAGCATGTTCTACAACTAAAGTTGTTAGTTTTTAAGATATAGCAACATTTCTAGAAAAACCAAATTTTTATTATTTTCGGTCACACGAAATAAGTTTGGAAAAAACTGTCACATTGTGTCAACTTGTCAGTTCATATTTTATCATTCCATTTTGAGTTAATTTTTAATATTTATTTGTGGTATTCTAGAAAATAATAAAAAATTAGTTTTTTTCATAACTGTTAAAAACTAACAATTTTAGATATAGAACATGTTTAATAAAAGTTGAAGTGGACCGATATGTGAATAAAATAGAACAATAAAATACAGGGTATTCCATTTGAAAAAATCAAGTTTGAACTTTCTTAAAATGATCGTATTATAAAAAATGTCCTGTATAAAATATCGATATTAGCTAGTATAGGAGCCTTTGTATAACATTTGCCTATAACTCTGTCTAATTATTTTGTTCCAAGTGTTAGTAGATGAAAATTAATACTTCTTGGAGGTCATGCTTTCTCCAAAAATTCGAAGAATTTTCTACATAACTTGGCAACCCCGCACTAAAATGATAAACTGTTGATATTGCCATATATAGAATGTGTAAAAATATATAGGGTGTTCCATTTAAAAAATGTAATATTTGGCGTGTCCCTTTTCTACTCATCATCAATTAATTTTGTAGTTTAGGTTTCCTGATTTTGTATAACTTTTATATAAACTTTTTGTCTGTATTATGAGTAACAAGGGAATTATTTCACTTTCTCACACTGTTGGCCCACCCTGTATATTTTTTTGGTAAATAATGGTCGATGGTACCCACACCTCCGCCGCTGGTAAGTTTCTAAAGCTGGTAATTTTTTGTTTCATACCTACTGCCATACTAAATATGCACACTGAATTTGGTTAAATTATCTCAAGAGGTTTAGAAATTAAAAATTAAAAACTGATTTATACAACAAAAAACCCTTATTTTTGGCCACAGAATATACCTCTGGATTTTTAACCTCTACTTAAGGAACACCCTGTATACAAAACTTTATTCTTAGCTTAAACTGGGTGCAGTTGTTCCATGTTTTCTGCATATTTCTTAAAATATACCGCATTTAAAATATTCCTGTATAGTTGCTAGTCATTCTCCACTGGAGAAGAATAAACTTTTAATTTCAAAATGCCCTTTAAACGATTTTGGTAGCAAGTAAATGTTGTGGAACCATTATGCATATACCACATTTTGTGGCGGAGTAACTACGATATATCTTCTAATAAATGTAACAAAGTTTTATTAAGAAGAAATAAGATAGTTTTTTCCATTTTTTAACCTGTTTGGTAATATAACAGGACTAATAAAATTACCCACTTCAGACCAAATATTCATTTTGAATATTTTGTATGTTGATAAGAGATTTAAAGTGATTTAAAAATGTTTATATTTAATTCACTGAAGGGAATTATTGTTGCATGTTACATTCGTACTATTAACCTTTGTATTGATGCAATTTTGCCAAAGTCAATTCCCAAAA